CATGCTGGAGAAAGAACTTTAGGAGATCGGAGAAGGCAGGACAGAGGGGAATCCAGTAGAATGCTATCACATGCTGGAGAAAGAACTTTAGGAGATCGGAGAAGGCAGGACAGAGGGGAATCCAGTAGAATGCTATCACATGCTGGAGAAAGAACTTTAGGAGATCGGAGAAGGCAGGACAGAGGGGAATCCAGTAGAAAGCTATCACACACTGGGGAAAGAATTTTGGGAGATCGGAGGAGGCAGGACACAGGGGAAATCCAAGATAAAGCTATCACACGTTGGGGGAAGAACTTTGGAAGATCGGAGGAGGCAAGACAGAGAGGAATACAGGAGAAAACTCCTGAGCTTGCTGCTGCTGTCTGGTGGATTGTGCCGCTGGAGCTCTCTATGCTTCTCCGTTAACCACCTCCACTCACAGGTATGCAACTTGACACCGAATTGCACGTGTGGTGTGTGCTTGTGTCCTGCAGTCAGGCATAGTGCCTTCACCCCACCCTGGGTTCCTCCTTTTGCATTCCGTTTTTTGTTCCTTTGGGTGGAGGGAAGTGGGTCCTGCATGGCATCCTGGCTCTGTGCTCTGCTCCACCTGAAGGCACGAAAATGGACCTGTTCTTCGGCTGCTGCACAAGCCCCGCTAGCGTGCGCTGCCCTCTTTTCTCTTGACAACCGCCTGATTAAAAAGAAGGACAAGGCTCCGCTGGTCCGGAGCCCATCTGATAAGATCAGGAATGCAAGGTCCCCAAACTTTTCAAAGACGCCGGCCATGCCACAAAAGCTCCCACCACTGTCCACACCCCCACGCCCATGCTTTCTGGCAGCCAGGCATCTGAGGCAAGTCCGGTGACTTTGCAAAGGCCTTGTGAGGTCCCCGAACATGTCAAAGATGCCGGCTGTGCCACGTAAGCTCCTGTTGCCGTCCTCACCCCTGGGCCCGTCCTTTCTGGCGGCCAGGCATCTTAGGCAAGTCTGGGGACTTTGCAAAGACCTTGCAAGGTCCCCAAACGTTTCAAAGGCTCCTGCTGCCATCCCCACTCCCTTGCTTTCTGGCCACACAGCCCTGCGCTATAAGCAAGGCAGCAACGGAGAGCCAAGCAGAAAAAAATGTAAGTGGGTTTAGATAGGGTTCTTAGAAGCGGGCAGGGCGATTGATGAGCCAGTCAATCAGTGAGTGGGGGGGCTAGGATAGTGTGGACGGGTGGGGGGACCGAGTGATGGAGCAGCTTCTGGATGGGTGGGGGTAAGCGAGCGAGCAACAGGGCCGGAGCAGGCATTCCAGAAGTTACTTCTGTGTCCACCGGTCAAACCTCCTCTCACCGGATTGGTAAATTTCACCAAACCGTTCTCCTGAGCTGGTGCGAACAGGCAGAAACCGACCACTGATGTTTAGCCAGAATAGGCCATAAGGATTTAGCATTATGTTTATGATTTATGTTTTAAATCTTGGTATATTTTATGATGAGGGACGTTTAAACAATTATAGTCAAATGAAAATGGAGGTATGAGGATGGTAATATGTATAAATATATCTGAGTTAAAATACTTGAGTTAATATGAATTATGGTTGATACACTTTCTACAGTATGTAAAGAAGGAGTATTCTTTGTGTTGTGTTTGTTTTGAAAAAAATTTTTTTTTTTAAAAAAGACTTAGTCGGAGGGACAATGTGCAAAGTAGCCGGCTCTCTAAGGCCTCAGGTTCCAAAGTTGGCATTGGGCAAATAACTGATTTTCCACTGTTGATGAAGAACAAGAGTTGGAAACAGCCCAATAAGGTATGTTCCATAGACACACAATGCTGAGACTCTTTCGTGGGTGCCAAGAGAGTATAAAAAGAATAGATACAGGTGATGGGAAACAAAATAGAGTACTTTTGAAAGGATTAGGTTGATTAGCACAATACTACAAAGAGTTATTACTAGCATATTAGAAAAGATAAGAGATGGAACATTTTCCCCCCAGCCACTTGAATATTATTTCTTTTGTACAAGTGAAACTACGCGTTTTTGCACAGAACACTAAATGAAAATCTTTGGTTCCCANGGCAGAGAACCCCTTGCTAAAATTTTTGAAGCTCACCCTTGATTCTATGGCCCCACAATCCCATGGTCTCCATCCTTGTCATAGAGGATTAGGTCTGTAAGTTTATTAGGCTATCTGGGCAAGGTTGCTTCTGTAACAGATCAAAGAAGGGAAGCACCCAGACAATGAGTAAGAACACACAGTTATAGCTAATTGGTTGAGGAGAGCTGGCCACTGCATGAGGCAATCTAAGTTGTGATTGGTTGCTATGAGAGTAAAGGGGGAGTTTCCTCTATGTGCCCTGTGTGTTATCTGCAATTTACCTCATAATGTTCCTACTGTACACATATTTATTTCTATAAAACTGCAAGTTCATGTCAGCATCTGAGTCCAACATTTGTGCAATTCCCTGACAGTGTCCATCTCCTAAATGCATTCTAGGAATCTATGACAGGCCTGGGCATCATTAAATTCCTTCTGTTTTGTTGGTAGGTAATAAAGGCGAATATACTAGAAGAGGTACACAATCAGCTGAGTGATCTATTAGACAAGACCTTGGAAGAAGCAGCTCATTCCAAACCCCAGCAATTGAGCGTCATCCCAGCAAAGCAGGAAAGCAGGTGGAAGAGGTTCCTTGCAATAGATTTTGGAACAGGGATGGGGAAAATAGAGTCATCAGGCAGTGCTGGCTCAATGGCCTTGAAACAGAAATGAGCACCACCTCCTATAGTCATCACTGACTGTGGAGTAAAATCCTCAGGGACTCTTACCTTTACCCCCCTTCTCAGAGGTGAGAAGGATTTTGAGAGATACTAAATATTACCTGCTTTGAAATCTTATCTTGCAGAGAGAAGGGTCAGCTACTGAAGAAGAAAGTCTTTGTCCCTCAGTGGTCCTTGTTTGAGTAAGTATGCCTGGCTATGATATGAACAAGACTTAGTCAGAGGGACAATGTGCAAAGTAGTCGGATCTCTAAGGCCCCAGGTTCTAAAAGTGGCCTTAGGCAAATAAAGCTGATATTCCACTGTTGGCGAAGAAGAAGAGTATAAAAAAGTCAATACTGCAGATGGCAAACAAAATGAAGTATTTTTGAAAGGATTAGGTTGATTAGCACGATAGTACAAAGAGATATTACAAGCATATTAGAATAAGGCGATTTGTAGTCTCAGCAGGAGAGAGATTCCTGCTTGGTCCAAGGGCTCAGTTGCGGTCATATGTTGAGGACTACCTGAGAGACTACATCTCTAAATGTAGAGATGGAACATTTCCCCCACCCCCAGCCCCTAGAATGTTATTTCTTTTGTACAAGTGAAACTACAAGAAGAGCAAATGAAAATCTTTGGTTCCCAGGTTTTGTCCAATGATCTCCAGCTACTCATCTCTCTCAATTTCTATTACTTACTTGCTGGCAACTTGTCTCTCTTTTACAGCACATTTCTGGAGGTGGAACATTTCCGCACAATCCATCACATATTTGTGGCCATGCTCTGTATCTTTGTCCTCAAACAAATCACTGTGGATTCCATCGATGAAGGACGGTATGATTCAGAAGAGGGGGTGGGGTAGAAGGTCTGTCCTCT